TTTATGTTTATCTCTAATTATGGTCTTGCTTTATACTAACATGCTTGAGAAGAGCAGTGAACATCTATCTTGGTGGCTCCTTAACTAAAACTTAAATTAAGAGGTAATGAGTGAGACAACACTAAATTGGAAGTTGTTAGGCTTGGGAAGTAGATTTCTATCTTTTGATTACATTTAATAATTTTTCAGAAAGACTTTCCTATTTATTCTGGTTACTGTTATCTTTTTTGCTGATTAATGAATATATAGACACCAAAAGAAGGGGCCAGAATCATAAAGACCAAGTCCCAAGATGTCAGTCTTCTCAGCTAATCAGAGTAAATCCTTAGTAATGTCCAGGGACAGAGATAATTATGATGTACTTGGTGTGGCTAAAGACTTTTTCTGATGAATGTTCTTCTGTAAAACAGAATTACCACCATAGAATGTGGCCACATAAGAGAGAGAGAGAGAGAGAGAGAGAGAGTGTGTGTGTGTGTGTGTGTGTGTGTGTGTGTCTTTGGAAATTAAGGCAACCTAGAATATTCTTCGGGAGCCAGTAGCTCTAGACCTAGGGTTGCCTCCATGACTAGCGTTGGCCTAACCCAAGCCTTCTGTGTCTCAGCTGGAAAATGAGAAACAAGACCAGAGAATTTCTAAGATTTTTCCAGCTATTCAATTTCATGCTTCTAATGCAGAGATGTTGTCCAGTGCATGTGTCCTGAGTTGGCACCTTTGGGCAGTGTGTTCTGCTTTCCATTTGGAAATATGTGGAGAGAGACAAGATACTTGGTTAGCTGGATATTATTCTGGTTTCCTGCTTTTTGCTTTGAAGTGGTATTATTATTATTAACAGTGCTTTGTTAATACTATCTACTTCATAGTAGGGGGGTGAGGTGGGCCAAAGATTGGGAACTTCTTCACGCCCGATAATTGCAGCAATATGGCTAGGTGTGGGAGTCTTTTGTATTATGATTCCCAGTTTTATTTCTTTTGACAATAAAGAGGTCACACAATTCAATATTTCTTATCCTTTAGAATTTTCAAATGTAAATTCACATTTTTTTATGTGCCTTAAAGCTTCCTTTGAAGATAGTAGTGATTTTATATTAAAGAAGTCTATATTGAGGAACTGGAAAGTTTGTGAGGCCATTAGAAACTCACAGTGCTCTTTGTAGTCTTTCTTTAAATAATATAGTGTGGGTAAGAGAAGTTTGTGAATTAGCATTATGTGTGTAAGACACTCTTATTATTTCATGAACTTTTTACTGTTCCACTGAAAATATTACTTTTTCTGTTCTTTTGTTTCATAGGTGTTTGCATTCTTTTCTTTTTTTTTTTTGAGTTGGAGTCTCACTCTGTTGCCCAGGCTGGAGTGCAGTGGCACCCTCATGATCACGCAGCCCTGACCTGCTGGGTTCAGGTGATCCTTCTGCTTCAGCCTTCCAAGTACCTGTAACTACAGATGTGCACCACTATACCCAGATAATTAAAAAAAAAATTTTATTGTAGTGATGATGTCTCACCATGTTGCCCAGGCTGGTCTTGAACCTGTAGGCTTAGGCAATCCTCTCACCTCTACCTCTCAAAGTGCTGGGATAACAGGCATCAACCACCATGACTGGCTGGGGTTTTGCATTCCTATCTCTGTCTTTTTTCTTCTACAGGTGGTCTCATGATATGAGTAATTATCAGGCAGTTGACATGGAAGGTCTTTCAGGAATGATGTCATATAAGTTTTTATCATGACTCAGATATCTACGGATTGCTGTAAACAGTATGTCCTAAATTTTGGTCTGAAAATGCGAAGATAAGCACAAAATAATTTCCTTGAGTCTAGAATCTTATTCTCCTTAAAATATATATTTTTTTGCTACAAATAAAATCTTATATGTTTTATAAATATAAGGTGAAATAGAAAAATATATAGGTTGGGCACGGGCTCAGCCTGTAATCCCAGCATTTTGGGAGCCCGAAGCAAGAGGATTGCCTGAGCCCATGGGTTTGAGACAAGTCTGGGCAACTTAGTGAGACCTCATTTCTACAATAAATTACAAAAACTAGCCGGATGTGGTGGCATGCATCTGTAGTTCCAGCTACTTGGAAGGCTGAAGTGGAAGGATCTCCTAAGTCCAGCAGGTGGAGGCTGCGGTGGCCGTGAGAGTGCCGCTTCATTCCAGCCTGGGCAACAAGAGTAAGACTTCAACTCAAAAAAAGAAAGAAAGAAAAATATATATATACTCATGATTTGGCCAAATTCTGTATAAGACTAAATCCTCATTGTATCCCTTTAAAATAATTCTAAGTTATTTATAATGTACCATGATGCCAAGAATTCATCTTATTTTAAACTAAAAATTTGAACTAAACCTTTTACTCGCCTTTGTTTTCTTCAGCAGGGTTACATTTCTTTAATAATTACTATGGAGGTACAAAATTTGGATAAAAAATTTAATTTTCTAGATCAAGACAATTTTTTTCCCTTGAAATCCTCATTACAAACAAAAACTGAAAATGCCAATATTTTTCTTTTTGAGAGACTCACTTTTTTTTGGCTATATGTATATTTGTAATTGACTATAGTTAATGAGCTTGTTCTAGCAAAATGTGCTTTGGAAGTAAGTAAATTGGAATTATACAAAATAAGAAAAAATGAAAGGATCTCTGGTTACTAAAAAGATTAAAATTATTTGATGTGCCAAACGAAATTCAGATACTAAATGAATTAAATAATCAAATAACATTCACCTTAAGTAACATGACACTTAGAAGTGGCATTTAAATATTTCTTTTAAGACACTGGGCAAAAGTTTAATCATAAACAAAATTATTAGAAATCAAAGAATCTTTTATTGTCAATGAGTGTGATATGTCTAATTAAGCTTTGCATTTTAGTCACTTATGTTATCAAGTTCTGGTAAAGATAAGAAGTGGCATGTACTCTTTCCTGAATTCATTAGTTTTATGAGTATAAAAATAAACTCCAAGATAAGATTATTTTGCGGCTTGTGCTTTTTTTTGAGAATAGATTTTGAATATTTTACTTTGATAGAATTCTGTTTATTATACTTGTTTGTTAATTTAAAGACAAATTTGGAAGAACAGGATTTGGAATAGTATCTCTGTCACTATTACCTCTCTTTTCTTGATTTTAGATGAAGTCATTCTTAGAGAAGCTCACATTCTGCTGCGACGTTTTTACACCACTTAGGACACATGTGAATTGGCCTAGAAAACCTGCTAACTCAGAGTCTTGGGTCTTTCCTGGATAAAATTCGATGAGAAGTATAGGAAATTATTTATGAGATTCCAAAGGCAGAAATTACTTATTTTTATAAACAGTTAATTTGGGATTTTGAAAATCATCCAGATATTAATTTATTATTGCATGCCGCCAGTAGTGACAAAGCTATGTCATGACTAAAAGGGTTTAAACTTATTCCCCAAATAAGAAAATGTATTGAACCTTTGTGCAGCTCAATTCCAAAGAAAACTTTAAGCTTTTCTGTTAGCATTAACCTTTTAGTATTTGTGTCTGAAACTAGTTGATACTGATTAAACTGGAGATATTTGTTATTGTTACACTTAATGTGTTTTGCAGTTGTAATAATTTTGATTATTAATTCATTGGTGTTTAGTTTTTATGATTTTGACTTTTTCTTTTCTGATGTGGCACAATTTAAATATATTCACATGAATAGAGCAAACCACATATCCCTACCACCTCTCTTCTGGTGGCCAGAAATCTAGAACAGAAATGAGGAACTGACCACACCCATCTCTGGGACAGCAGGATTCTGAACACCCACTGGGAACCCATACAGGATGAAGCATAATTGGAAAAACTGAAATATTTAATGTTTCTAATTAGTGATGTTTTCCTTTATTTAATTTACTTTTTTATTTGGCTATGGATTGGGAAAATGGGAAGCTTTTTGAAAAATGTTATTTTTTTTTTTTAAAGAAAAGAACCTGGTCGACTATTAGCTATCAATTTTCTAGGAGACTGGGTTATTTTTCTGATTCACAAAATATTTACAGCATTATGTGTTTTATTTGGTCTCTGGAAGACTGAATCTGAGACTGCAAAACAACAATTTCCAGTTTTAAAAGTTACTGGGTCTTCAAGTTTATGCATTTAGGTAAGCCAAGTATCAATGTCACTGTCTAAGTGAAATACTTTTTATTTTAATTTTTTGATGTAACCCAAATACTTTAAATCTTACACTTGCTCTTTTAGATTGTTGGTCCTAACTTCTGGCAGCCAGATGTTTCATAAATTAAAGCAATATTGTTTGAAGGATTCAAACCTGCTTACTTAAAAAAATGTATTCATTGATGTGTGATATTTGTTATTGTGAATTGTTATAAAACTCATATTTTTTAACTGCTCATGTGATTATACCTTGATTGTTCAATAAAATTACTAGTTTTTTGAAGTCAGGGTTTCTTAAATTTCTCTGCATTATCCTTTATATGTAATAAAGACTCATTCACACCATTTGTTCATCGATTTACTTTTAAGTCTCACCAGATAAAAGAGTGAAATGAGCAATTTTAGGCTCTCATGACTAAATCCAAATCAGCCAAGTGTGGCCAATTCCTAGTGACATTTGCTATGCTCTGCCTGTGTCAAATCCAGCTCAGGGAAGCTAGACAAAACTGACTGACAAAGAATATGGGTGCGATCAAGAACATTGTTGATGATCTCAAATGCATCTGAAACCATTATAAGAGTCAGTCTTGTGATGAAGCAGGAACAAATGAACCTATTGTCACTTGGAAGATTAGTGAATAAATCACACATGGGGAACCATTTTTTCTGCATCAAAATTATACTTCTTTTAGTCAATTTATCCAGTCAACTCCCGATCCCCTATAAATCTGTAATAAGTTTTTCACTTCTACCAAAAATCTATCAAGGGACTTTCAGAAATCGTTCTCATAATGAGTTTTTCCAGGATTTGAATTTTTTAAAAATCGCAACAGTGAAATGCCATACCTGCTGCCAGGTGACTTACCAACTCGACGTTGTTCTCAGCCAGTTTGTAATCATAGGAGTAAGGGTAGAGCATCATCTGAGAGTACGAGTGGATAGTCAGATAGGCCTTGATGGAAGAGAGGTTGTCACGGATGAAATCAGCCAGTGCCTTGGTCTCTGTTTCAGACTCGGCGGCAGGTCCACAGTAAGTGTCATCACAAGGGCTTCTAGAGGCTCCGATTTCTGGAAAAACATATGATGTTGTTAATAGCGAGCATCCCCTGCAAATAACAATCATCCCCTGAAACACCACTGGGATGTTTTGGACTTTCAAATTAAAGAGTTAACAAGTTGTTGGCCAGGTGTAGTAGCTCATGCCTATAATCCCAGCCCTTTGGGAGGCTGAGGTGGGAGGACCACTTGACCCAGGTGTCCAAGACCAGTCTGGGCAACATAGCGAGACCTTCAACTCTACAAAAAATAATAAAGAAATAAAGTTGTTTTCACAGGAGTCCTTATAATCTGCTCAATTATGTACATATTATAAAGTTTGGTATTTAGTTACAAGATTAGAAAAGTATGCTTTTTAGCTAACAAGGGAAAAAGTTGCACGTAAAATCACCAATGTGTCCCTGTGTAGTATTATACAATTAGATCGGTGTAGCTCAAGAAAATTAATAAATAGGGGACAAACTAATATCCATGAAAAAATCTATATCACTGTGATCACTCTTAATTGCATCACAATTTTATTTAAATAATTGTTTATTTAATGGCTGTCTTCCTATCTAGACTGTGAGTAATAAGATTATGCCCAGTTTACTCAGTCTTGTGTGTTCAGCATCAAGCACAGCTGAGAACCCCACAGAGTGCTCAGTACATTTTTGTCAAATGAATTAAATTATTTATTGTCTGTGTTTTTAGAAAGTTAGAACACTAAAACATAAAATTTTACAATTAAAAAAAAATTTATACACCACTGTGTTTTTTTTAATGTGATTTTTTTCTCCTCGTATTTTCAACTGATCTATGCCATATGGTCAGCTAGATACTTACCACACCAGCCAGCATCAAAATTTCTGTTGGGGTCTGTGCCAATACAGCTAGATCCGGCATGGGTGGAGCGGGTCTTTCTCCACATTCGGTTCTGAGAATGAATTGCATGATTAGGACAAATACAGCAGCAAGTGGTTGTTAATTTCACTAGTCTTTCTCAGTATTGGTTCATATACCTTGGTCCAGGTGTAGATGTAGCCGTCAATATTCAGCACAGGCAGGACATAGAAGTCTAACTTGTCAAGAAGCTCCGTCATGTGGATCTCACGTCCATAGGTCCGGACAGACTGCATGTGAATTACAAAGCAGAATTTCATGGAAAAATGGAATGAGTATTACTGTTAAAATCTAAATAGACAGATGAATGTTGACTTTGGTAATGAAAGCAGTGTTCCCTACTGAGGTAGACAATGTAAATATTTAAAAAGCAGTCAACAGATTATGACTGTTATTTTTGCTTAAAATTGTTATTTTTAGTTCATCACGGCTTTCAGGATACTTTGATTTCATCTATATATAACTCACATAATTATTACTTTTTATCTTAAATTTTTACTTTAAAGATGAACACATTTAATAAAATTAAAGGCTTTTAAAGAACATATATACTTCTTTTGTGATAACTGCAATAACTTTTTTCAAAGTTAGTAGAATGTAAATGTAAAACCCAGTCCTAGTAAGTAAGAAGTGTCTGTGGGTAACTAAGCGTGTTCCTAATAATATCATTTAGAAATTTATTTACTTTCTTTTTCTTTTTTTTTTTTTTTGAGTTGGAGTCTCCCTCTGTTGCTCAGACTGGAGTGCAGTGGCACAATCATGGCTCACCACAGCCTTGACCTGCTGGGCTCAGGCAATCCTTCTGCCTCAGCCTTCCAAATAGCTGGAACTACAGGCGTGTGCTGCTAACCCAGCTAATTTTTTAAATTGGTTGCAGAGATGAGGTCTTGCCAAGTTGCCCAGGCTGGTCTCAAACCCTTGGGTCCAGGCAATCCTCTTGCCTCCACCTCCCAAAGTACTGGGATTACAGGTGTGAGCCTCTGTGACCAGCCAGAAAGTTATTTATTTTCTATGAAACCTCCTGTAGGTGGTCTCACTAGAGAGAGGGTCCAATGTGAATCAATGAGAATGTCTCACATTATTAAGCTCACGCTCACGGACTTTGGGGAGGCTCTCACCAACCCTCTAAGCTGCATAATTATGGGAATCTCCTTCTTCATTGTCTTTCTTGGGAAGGGGATTCTGTTAAGAGACTAGTTCTCTCTGTGAAGAATGTGGGCACATCTGTAAATGAAGGGCATCATGCCCATTTAATATGCCCTCTTTGTCACAGTCCCTCTGCTCTAGCATTGTACTAAATTTAAATTCAACCCTTCCCTAGGATTGCTTAAATAAACGTTAAAAATATATAAGGCTTCTATGCGTGGACAGTGTTTATATTCTTTTTGGGGCCCAATACATATGTATTCATTACAATACTATGTGATAAAACATAGTATTATGCTTTTTAGGTTGGAAGAGCTGTAGAATCATATTGTTTTAAAGACCTAAGAATTGGAAATTCATAATGTGAAAATAATAAGAAAATCCAATTCTCTTCTAAATGGTGAATGGTGAGGTTACACAGTGTGGTTAAGTGAAGCCAAATGGATATGTAACACTTGGATATGCCTGCATAATATTCCAGATATTATGTGGTCTATATGTGGTCTAGAAACTAAGACCACATAACAAATATACACTGAAATCCTTCACACATAAGATCATTATGTTGTATATAATGATATTCTTGTATTTCTAAAGCACTTCAATCCTTTTTACTTGTACTTTTGAAATAATTTGGGGCTTACAGAAACATCGCAAAAATAGTTCCCATATACCCTATACCCAGCTTCCTGAATCTTACCATCTTATGTAACCATGGTACAATTATCAAAGTGAAGAAATTAACATAGGTTACAAAACTATAAACTAAATAAAGCATTTACTCAAATTCCACCAGTTTTTCCAGTAATGTCCTTTTTCTGTTCTAGGTTCCAATGTAGAATACTACAGTGACTTTACTTATGACACGTCTCCATAGTCTCCTCTGATCTGTGACAGTTCCTCTGTTATTCCCTGTCTTTGTAACACTGTTAAAGACTCCTGGTCAGGTTACTTTGCAGAATGTCTCACAATTTCAGTTTTTCTTTTAATCAGAAATTATTTTATTTTTTTTCATAATCAATATTTTTTATTATGATATTGTGGGATACAGTTAAGGGTTAGATATACAAATATGCTTTGTTCAGGCACCCTTGTTGATAAGAGGTGTCTCCCCGTCCCCAGACAGATGTTTACTACCATTAATCCCATTTCCCTTCCCTTCCCCTCCCCCATAGTTTCCCACCACTGTCAGTCATTTTCTTATGGTAATACGTTGGATGATCAAGGTCCACTATATGAGTGAGAACATGTGATACTCAGATCTTTGTTTCTGTGAGAGGTCACTCAGTATTATAGACTCTAGTTCCATCGAGGTTGCTGCGAAATTTATGATTTTGTTCTTTTTATAGGCTACGTAGTATTCCATCATGTATATGTACCACATTTTTTAAAATCCAGTCCTCTTTTTACGAAGACTGGGCGTAGTGGCTCATGCCTGTAACCCCAACACTTTGGGAGGCTGAGGAGGGAGGATTTCTTGAGCCCAGGAGTTTGAGACCAGCCTAGACAACACAGTGAAAACTTGTCTCTATAAAAAATTTAAAAATTAGCCTTGTGTCATGGTGAATGCTTATAGTTCCTGCTCCTGGGGGAGGCGTGGGGGGTGACGTAAGGGGAAAGGAGGGGAGGCTGAGGCAGTGAGGTTCGCCTGAGCTTAGGAGGTCGGGGTTGCAGTGAACTGTGCTTGTGCCACTGCAGTGGTTGGATCTCGCTGCCTGGGAAGCAGAGTGAGATCCCAATTAAAAAAAAAAAAAAAAGTATGATTAGTAGGAAGTTATGTATTTTGGGGAGAATATCACAAAAGTGATGTATCTTTTTAATGCAATTAATTTCAGAAGGTACCTGATATTGATATAACTTATGTTTTACTGGTGACGTTAACTTTGATCAATTGGTTAAGGTAGTTTTTGCTTTGCCAAGTTTCTCAATTCTAAATTCTCACTTTGTAATTAATATATTTTGCAGGGGAGATACTTTGAGACTCTGCTAATACTCTGTTTTTCCTAAGCTTTTACTCATTAATTTTGCATCAATCTGTGGACTGACTTGGAATCATTATTACTGTCCTATTCTAATGGTGATTTTACAAGGGGGAACCCCCCAAACGGAATTTATTTATAAATAATTGTGTTTTTATTCTGACATGCTTAAACTTCAGTCACCTTCAAAGTACTCTCTGTTTGATGCAAAACACCTATATTGAGATGCTTTTTCTACTGCTCAAAACAGTTTTTGAACTTGTCAATTTTGATGTCTTCTAGTGCTTCTGCCAAGTTGTTTGTTTCTCCTCTTCCACATTGGCAAAACTCGGGAAAAAAAACAAACAAGGGTTCACCTTCCAAAAAATAATTTTGGGATTTTTGGGGTCCCTCTTTGTATATTTTGCCATTCTTTGTACATATATTAGTTGAACTTCTTCTGCAAGAAAGAGTTAGTTCTTATCTCTTTTTTATTTATTTAATAATCTGTTTATATCAGTATAGACTCATGGATATTTAAACACTTTAGTGTTCAAAGGGATTTCACATATACCTTATCATCAGAATTATAAGGAATGAAAATAGTATCATTTAGAGTAAGGGCTACTCTGTACTATCTTCTTTTATTCTGAAGTACACAGTGGTTACTATTCCGGCCATCATGATCATGGTGGTGGTTTATCCAAAACTATTAGCATTTAAATGACCAATCCACTATAGTAGCTCCTGGCTTCTCCACCAAACATTGGATGAGAAAGTTCAGATGAGTGAAATTCAAATAAATACAATTTCCTAACTCTTTTAAAATCTTGCCTTATCTTCTCTGTTGGGGAAAGTTGAAACTAATTTCCAAAAATGGAAACTTGGAAGTATAAATTATTTTTTCTGTGTTATTCTCTCTTACTATAGCCGGGTTATAAGAAATTAATTGAGATTTAAAAAAATACTCTTTACCCCACAACTCTAAGATTAAATTAAATTAAAAATAAACTCTTTAGATATACAGTTTTAAAATGACTAAATAAATATTTTCCATTTCCCTTTCCCGAAAATTATATACTGACCTCTCTCACAAACCACTGGCAAAATGCAGGAGAAATCCACTCCCTGGCATGGAAGCCACAGTCCATGAAGATGGCAGGCTTATTTGGTCCAGCTTTGCCAACCTATTGCCAACAAAAGAAGCAGGGAAACCATGAATCATCACATGGCATTCAGGGGTTAACCTCCATGACCCGTCTGGGCTTCAGATTCAGCAGGTGAAACCTGCCAGCAGCAATAGATATAGCCCATGATTAAATGAAAACATAATTCTAGCACAGTATGATCGTATCTCTAGACACACCATGTTTGAACTGAAAGCTTACATGGCTGTTTATTATTTTTATTAAGCTTGACAAGCTCATATTTTCCAGGAGATGCTTGATTACCCTGCTTAATTGTACTCATGTGGAGGTTATTTTCGGCTGCTGTTATTAGGTGACATGACCAAGACAACTGGATGAGTAATTAGAAGTAATCATGATTGTTGCTAATCTTGTAAGAATTTTTCCTTCTCTCCCACTTATTCCTTGTCTTTTTATTTCCTTCATTAGAATTACATGATAAAAATGGTGTTAGGAGATGACAGAAACAAATTGTGGATGCGTTTTGTAACGTTGTCTGATAGACATGAAGTTTATGAACCTCTTTAGCAAATGGATTTGCAAACAACAGCTGGGCAAGAAGAATTTCATCAAGGTAGATGATCATTTACATTGCTTACAGGAATGTGGTTAAATTTATTGGACTTCTCTTATTTTATTGCATTTTTCCTTTTGAATAAATCAAAATAATGATTTGAAAACCCACACATGATAAGAGTAGCTGGGGAATCTGATTCCCTGGGGCATGTAGGCAAGAAAAGAGTTATAACAATGTTTGGAATAAGCATGTCTGTGAAACAGATGTTAATGTGTTGGAATGCATTGATTTAAAGCTCTCAGACACGGCAAGGTCATGGTTAAAAACGATTACCTTGAGGAGGTACATAGCACGTCCCTCAAATGTGGTTCCGATAACACTGCGAGAGATGAGGTCTGGATTCTCCGTGGCGACTTGTTGAGTCCAAGCCTCTATCTACCAAATGGAGTTATTTGTAGATTAATGTGACATTCTTGGTTCATCTGACAAAAAATGTCTGTCTATATCATGTGCATGTCATACCGTTTCCCAGTTGTTGTACTTCTCATAGCTGTGTCCCGATGCGCGGACTCTATTGTCAAACTGAGTCTCCAGCACGCGTCTCACGTTGTTTATCAACACCCTGCAATGAACCAACGTGGGTGTCCCTCTGAACCTCAGTGTATTTTCCTCAGTGAACACACACAAAACCCCAGAGCCACTGCTTTAGTAGATGGTACTGTGCGTTCTCCAAAGACGTGCATGTTGTCCTCAGATTTTTGCTGATGACCTGAACTGCTCCAGGGAGATTCTGTTACTCATCATAAACAGTAAGTCACTGAGGAGGATACTGGAGAGTGTAATGCAATAAATTAATACCAAATGGTATCTGCTTCCTCGCAAAAGGTAAATTCTTTCTTAAGGTCTTAACTATGTTCAGGTGGTATTTTTTTAAAAAAGGAAAAGGAGTAGACTCTTCCGCAGTCCAAAATTCACATATTTGAGTGCACTTGGACCTAACTTGGAAAATGGTTTCCCCTGGTACCTGGGGTGTTTTGGGTCAGGGCCCTTGAGCTTACACACAACAGTGTGTACTTGAGGCCTATCTGTGATCTTTCTCCTTCAGGGCTTTCTGAATTTAGCACTCAAAGTCTTGTGTTCCAGGAAAAGTCCCAGGAAAATAGAAAGAGTTGATCACCTGGGACCTAGCTCTAGGTTTTGAGAAAAATATCTTAGTGGCTGGAAATTAAGCAAGTTAAATAAATATAACCAACTTAAAGATCGCCAGGCAAAAGAAAACTAGATTTAAAGAGTGTTTCATGTTTAAATAGTGTTTCACTGTGTTTCACGTGGTTTAAGTAATGTAATAATGGTTCTGTAGCAGGGTAATAGGAAAAGTGGTAACAGAACTTTGAGGCCTTCCTATTTCTATAAATGAATTGTTCAGGTGAAGTTTCCTATTATAAGAAGCAGGTCTGAAGGTGTGGGTGTTTGTGATTTCATTTTCCGTTGCTACTTTGAGTGGAAAGTATATTTGAAAGAGACAAAATTTTATGAGCATTTATGTCCTTGATCATTGTGAATATTACAGACAGGCCACTTTGCAGAAACTTCTGTGATCCACAGTTAAGCCTTGAGATGGTGTTATCGGACACACACAGAGAACTGCAGCCACACATCAAAAGTCGGCTTCTCCTACGGCTGCCCCAAGGACATTCTGATGAATGTCAACTTCATCAGAAGTTCATTTGGTGAACTTGGGTATGAACTTGTGTTCATTTGTGGAAAATGCAGTAGGTTAATACCAAATGGTACCTGCTTCCTAGCAAAAGGTGAATACATTCTTAAGGTCTTAACTACCTTAAGGTGGTATATAAAAACAAAAGAAAAAAGGAAAAGGAGAAGATTATAAAATGTATTCTGTGGAAACAATTTTCTATTGAGCAGCTATCAATATTTTAGTGTATTAGTTTATATGGCTGTTGCAAGTTACCACAGATTTAGTGGCTTAAAATGACATGAATTTATTATTTTACAGTTTCATAGGCTAGAAGTCCGACACAGATCTCACTGGGCTAAAAATAAGGTGTCGACAGGGATGATTCCTTGTTCTTTCCAGTCCTAGAGGTCACCTGCATTCCTTGGCTGTGGCCTTCTCCTCTACCTTCAAGACCCTAAGAATGGATTGAGTCTTCATATTCAATCATTCTGATTGCCTCTTCTGCTTCCCTCTTCCATTTTTCAGAACTCTTATGATTACATTGGACCTATCAGGACAACCCAGGATCTCTCTACTTTAAAGTCAGCTGATTAGGAACTTGAATTCCATCTATAACCTTAATTCCTCTTTGTAATGCAATGTAACATAGTCAGATGTTCTGGGGATTAGGGCATGGACATTTTGGAACAGTGGTTATAATAAGTGTTATAATAATTTTCACCACTGAAATTGTATTGTTAGAAACTAGCATGGAAGTAGAAGGAATCCTGAATTAGAAATCAAAAGATCAAGGTCATGGTTTTGCCTAAATCATAAATTGGCTTTAAAAAAGTCATTTAATCCCTAGAACTTAATTTCATAAGCTTTAGAATGGAGTCATTGGATTAGTGACTGTTCCATGTTCTTTTTGATTCTAAAATGCAATGACTTGACTCAAATCCATAGGCCTGGGTCATTTACATAGATGTCTTTCAAATTTATGAAAAAAAAGTTGCCAGGTACCATCTTCAAAAGCTTCAGAAACCATGGGGGAAACTAAAGCCTAGAATATAGATAGTTCAGGAAAATAATTTTTTTTGAGTCAGGGTCTCACACTGTCATCCTGGCTAGAGGGCACTGGCATGATCATGGCTTACTTCAGCTAGCCTCGAAGTACTAAGCTCAGGCAATCCTCCTTACTCAGCCTTCTGAGTAGTTGGGACTATAGTGTCACCACACCTGGCAAATTTTTTGATTTTTTTGTAGTGATGAGGTCTCGCTATGTTGCCCAGGCTGGTCTTAAACTCCTGGGCTTAAGCAGTCCTCCCACCCTGGCCTCCCAAAGTGCTGAGATTACGGACATGAGTCATTGTGCCCAGCTGGGAGAATGATTTTCAAGGATAACTAAAAACTAACCAACAAAAACAAAACAAAACTTGGAAACTTTTAAAACAAACAAACAAACAAACAAACAAACAAACAGAAAGGCACAACTGGCAGAAATCTTTAAGAAAACAACCATATTTCAAGATCATCAATTTCAAAGAACAAATTCTACCTAATAAGGATGACCTTCTCTTACTGAATGAAAAAAAAAAATCCAGGAGCAACCGGTAAATGATACCCTCTTACTTCAACAACCAGCTCTGGGCAGAGGGACAGCAGAGCTTCTGGAATATACTGTTGTTCTCTCACCTGCATACAACCCTCAAGGTCAAATTATTTAGGAGAATCTGACTATGGGGGGGGGGCTGAATTTTGTGTGGTGCTAAGAAGAGACATTCTGTTAGAGTTATGACTATGTTAAATATTAAACATTTTCATCAATAACCAGGACAAAGAAGTATACAAAACCAGTTATTTAAAGCAAGTTGTCACCTAGGAATAAAAGCACTCTAGTAATTTGCAAAAGAGCATTAGGATGAGGTTGAAATGTGGTGCTGATCTTTGCCTGAAGGCGCAGGATTGACCTCGAATGATCCTTCCCAATCCTATGATTATTTGATTTTATTAGATTTAGGACAAACACTACTTTAGCTATATTACAAAATATTATTACTAAATAATGAGTTTCTACACTAGAAGATTAAAACAATGCCTCTTAATATAATAGGGACGGCAGTACAGCTGCAAAATAGAGAGGCATCTACATTATTTTACACTTTTATAACCTCCTTTTACAGTGCCATCCAACTTCTTCTCCTTCTTCTTTTTTAACACACAAACAACAACAACAGAAATATGAAATAACTGGTACTCCCAATAAAACAAGAAACACAGTGTCTAAGAAAGTAAGAGAGCTATGACTCAGATTTCTGAAAACAGAGTATTTGATCTATTTCTGGATTTTGTGCCCATTGCTACTGAATAACATTCCAATGTACCCACTGCTATCCAAGGATACTTTCTTATCTGCCTCTGAAATCTGAGAAAAATGATGTTGTAGCATTTGTAACAATCAGTCTCTCCCTGGATCATATAGGGCAAAGACAACCTTCCTATAATCAAAACGAGGTCTGACAATTAAGTTTGCAAACTCATCCTAGAAAAAGTGTTGCATACCTCATTGTTGAATATCACTATGATCACCTTTGAAGTACTCCCCTTGGTAAGTTATGTACCAACGCCAGTGCCTAGTCCATTCATCAAAGCAATTTTGGAACTCTTTTTCTGGAATGGTCATCAGAACTGTTGTTATATTACCATTGATGTCCTGAATGTCATCAAAGTGTTTTCCTTTCAATATTTTCTTTATCTTCAGGTAAAGAAAAAAAGTCATTGGGGGCAGATCAGGTGAGTAGGGAGGGTATTCCAATGCAGTTATTTGTCTATTGGTTCAAAACTCCCTCACAGACAATGCTGTGTGAGCTGGTGCATTGTCTTGACGTAAGAGCTCCTTTGGGACCATTTTTGCACTCACCTTTCTCATGCCAAGGTTTTCAGTTAAGATTTCCTAACTGTTTTTCTATTGATGTTTATTTTGCCTGCTGTTCTTCTCACAGTCCGCCAATGATTTTGACACACAATTTGATTGATTTTTTGCAAAGTTTTCATCAATTCTGCTCATTACTGACCATCCTGACCTCTCTTCATCAGTGATGCTGCCTCTCCCCTCAGAAAAAGTTTAATCCATTTGTACACTGCCATTTTCTTCATGGCATTATCCCCATAAACTTTGACTAACATGTCCCTGATTTCACTTCCACTCTTGCCAAGTTTAACAAGAAATTTATGTTTGTTTGTTGCTCGAATTCAAACATCAACATTCTTGCAATGACAGCTCTGATGGCCATTCTAGAAAAAGAGTTCCAAAATTGCTTTGCCGGGTGGAGTAGGTGTTGGCATCAGTACACAGCTTCCCAAGGGGAATACTTCACAGGTGACCACAGTGATAGTCAGCAATGAGGTATGTAGCACTTTTCCTAGGATGAGTCTGTGAACTTAATTGTCAGACTTCATAGGAACAATTTCAGCGAAAGGCCACTCACCAAAAGATTCTGTCAGCTTAGCATCACAGCTGCAAGTTGGAGATTTACACCATCTGATTCCTAGTCTTTCTGTAACTAAGGGTGCAGCTTTGGCATTTAAAACCACAGTTGTCTTTCTTTTTGCACACATTTTGAATTTTTATCCTATGATAATTCAGGACTGGATAAAAGCTGTCAAATAATACAAGGCTTGGAACCACAGAACATGTGTGAAAAGCTGTTTTGGTGGACCCTGTGTAGTGGATGGTGCTTGTCACACATAAACATAACTGCACATTCTTGACAGCAGGAAACCGTCTAAATACAAATTAGTTACCCTATGAGGTAATAATGGCGTGCACAGGGACTGCTTGAGGCTGCAGCAAGGATATTGCTGGTACACTTCAAGATTTCCAGGGACTTATTATTATTTAATATTTAGAAAATTATTTGCCACAAATGTGCTAAGTAGTGAACAGAGAAGCAAAAATTAACACACTCTTACTTAGCCCTCAGGGAATGTCCTACGTTCTAGATGAGACAACATTCATACACAGTTCCCAAAAAGTTTCCAACTAAAAAAAGGAAGTGAATTTTCTACTTGATATATAGAAATTGAAATGCAATGGAAACAATTTCACTGTTTTGTGATGTGGGTAGAATTAGGACATCATTCAGGTAGCTGGGGTTGGTCTATGGTCATTGATCTTCCTTGGTTTTCTTAAAGGATTATGAAGAAATTGTCATCTTTTTGAATGTTACTGAAGGCTTCTAAAGGCTAGGGCTTTAGATGTCCTTTCATGTTTAATAAGAAGAGCAAAATGCCATAGACGTGAATCTTAATCACATTTTGAATCTTACTGGGTTATATCTCTGTTTTAAAAAGACAGTCAATTCTTAAGGTCACATTTTGACACTTCCCTCGGGCAGAAGTAGATAGCTAAGCTATGTGAGGCATGATCATGGGGTTAAAAATGACAGTTTCTGTTGACTCTTAAAAAATGTATAATATCCCTCTTTGTACAATAGTAAACCATAGTAGTGTTCTCAGTAATATAATAACAGCTGCAATTTATTTACATATCGTTTTGCTTCATTTTCATAATAGTCCTTTGCGAAAGGCATTATGTCTTCATTTTATGGATAAAAAACCTGAAGCTCAGAAAGGTTAAGCAAATTGCCCATGGTTACATAGCTGGGAAGGTGCAGAGCCAGGATTGGAATCCAGTCTGGTTTTTTTCCCCCAAAGCATTTACTTGTTGCACCATGCTATCCAATTTCTCCTGGTAGGGACAGATTTAATAGGTGGCCATTCTGACATCTTCACTGGCACAAATACTATTCTTCAATATTTTTAGATGTGAAAAGCAAGAGAAAATTTCTAATGTTAAAATTATGGCAGATAACATTTTCTTGAAACATCATAATGACTCGAGCTTATGATGGGAAATTGACGGATAAACATTTGAATGTTCAGAACTGGAGCCCGAGATTTTCTCTTTGCTCCTTCCTGGTCCACCCCTTGGAGGAAGAGCTTTGTACTATAAACCTCATTTCTTCCTTCCCTCTCATCTAAGTGTCTCCAGGTCAGCATGGTCTCTCCTTCTAAGCCTTAATATATGGTCTGCTGTCTGCCTAAAGTGTGGTTTTTCCTTGTTTTTGTCTGGATGACTCCTACTCATCTTCTTTCAGTTCTCAGGACAACCCTACCTAACCCTGAAGCCTCAGGGCAACGCTACCTAACCCTTAGACTTGGTCTATTTCACTGAGTCTCCAGTTCTTTATTCTTAACATCCATTGTACACTATTGAAGTTCCTCATTTAAAGTCCGACTTCCCCCATAAAACCCCAAACTATAAGAACCTTAGAAAATGCAGAAGACAATCTTATAGAAATTAGAACTGGCAACCAATCCCTAATCAAAACCCCAAGTGCCCATGCCATAAGAGATAAGATAGCAAGTGGGACCTCATCAAACTGACAAACTTCTGCAAAGCCAAAGAAACCATTGAGAGAGCGGGGAGACAGCCCACAGACTGGGAGAAAATATTTGCTGACTGTATGTCTGACAAAGGCCTAACATCTAGTATGTATAAGGAACTCAAACATGCCGAAAAGAAAAAAACAAACAACCAACCCCATTACAAAGTGGGCAAAAGATATGAATAGACATTTCTCAAAAGAAGACATATGAGCAGCCAACAGATACACGAAAAAATGCTCAGCTTTACTAGTCATCAAACAAATGCAAATTAAAACCACATTGAGATACCAAACTAATCCAGTCAGGATGGCCATCATCAATAATTCAAAAAGCAACAGATGCTGGAGAGGATGCGGTGAAAGGAAATACTTCCACACTGTTGGTGGGAGTGTAAATTAGTACAGCTTCTGTGGAAAACAGTGTGATGAGTCCTAAAAGATCTAAAAATCAACCTCCCATGTGACCCTGCAATCCCCCTACTGGGAATATACCCGGAGGAGCTCAAATCACTCTATGAAAAAGATACCTGCACATGCATGCTTATTACAGCATTATCACAATAGCAAAAACATGGAACCAACTGTGCTGCCCATTGAAAGAGGACTGGATAAAAAAAAATGTGATACATATACATGATGGAATATTATGCAGCCATAAAGAAGAACAAAATTAAGAACTTTGTAGCAACTTGGATGGACTTAGAGGCTGTAATACTGAGCGATTTATCACAGAAGCAAAGAATCGAGTATCACATGTTCTCACTCATAAGTAGTTGAACAACTATCATAATATTATAAGAAAGGGATTGGCAGTAGTGGGACACTGCCAAGGGGGGGAGGCACACCACATCAACAAGGGTTCCTGCATAATGAACATTTGTATACTGAACCCTGACTTGTACCCCATATCTTTAAAATTAACAAGTTGGGCTCAGTGGCTCAGCCTGTAATCCCGCGCCTTTGGGAGGCTGAGGTGAGTGGATTGCTGAGCCTGCGGGTTCGAGACCCGCCTGGGCAGCAAGACCTCATCTCTACAATAAATCAAAAAATCAGCCGGGCTTGGTAGCACATGCCTGTAATTCCGGCTACTTGGAAGGCTGAGGTGGAAGGATCGCTGGAGCCCAGCAGGTCGAGGTTGCGGTGGCCAGGAGCGGCCACTGCACTCCAGTCTGGGCGACAGAGTGAGACTCCAACTCAAAAAATAAATAAATAAATAAAATTAATTAATTAATTAATTAACAAAAAAAATTTTTTTAAAAGCTACTTCTCAGATAGTTAAAAAAAAAGTCTGACTTCTAAAGGAGGAAAGGTCCCATCCATTCTTTTCAGTACTTGATACATGTAAACACTCAATATCGATTTGTTGGATCAACCAATGGACTACTGCCTCGACATAGGAGGACGTTCTTATCTTGAAAGACCTAGATGGACCAGCATGGTCTTTGGGGAGAGGAGACACGATCAGCTTAGTTAACTCTACTCTAGGTATTTGGGAAACCACTTCCCTTTCTTTGCGTCCTTCTCTCCGTACCTTTTCCTATATTAGAGATAGTGGTGGGATCTTAGGGAAAAAAGTGCAAGAGGGCCATTCAGATGCACTTTAGTCTTGTCCTTAGAATAAAGGAGTATGGCTCATGATAGATCTTACTGGTCACCTGGAAAGAAGACCTAATAGGATTTGGGGCTAAAACCATGTCTAGTTGATAATAGAGTGTAAATTGATTTGGCCCATAGTCTATATATCACTTGTAAAACAGCAGTAGGTCATATATCTGGTGAAGATTTGGGATTTAAGAGTAAAAACCGGCTGGGTGCGGTGGCTCACGCCTTAATTCCAGCACTTTAGGAGAAAGAGTTGAGAGGATTTCCTGATCCCAGGAGTTTGAGACTAGTCTGGGCAACTTGGTGAGACCTTGTCTCCACAATAAATCAAAAAATTAGTCGGGTGTGTTGGCACACACCTGTAGTTCCAGATACTTGGAAGGCTAGGGCAGAAGGATTGCCTGAACTCAGCAGGTGGAGGCTGTGGTGGCTGTGAGCCCAGTGCCACTGCATTCCAGCATGGGCGACAGAGTGAAACTCTGATTCAAAAAAAAAAAAAAAAAAGATTAAAAATCATTTTGAGGCTGGGCTTGGTGCTCAGCCTGTAATCCCAGCACTTTGGGAGGCCAAGGCGAGTGGATTGCCTGAGCCCGCGGGTTCGAGACCCGCCTAGGCAACTTGGCAAGACCTCATCTCTACAATAAATCAAAAACTAGCTGAACGTGGTAGCGTGTGCCTGTAGTTCCAGCTACCTGGAAGGCTGAGGTGGAAGGATCGCCGGAGCCCAGCAGGTGGAGGCTGCGGTGGCCGGGAGCGGCCACTGCACTCCAGTCTGGGCGACAGAGTGAGACTCCAACTCAAAAAAAAAAAAAAAAAAAATCATTTTGATTAGAGCAATACCTAAACACAATCCACCAGAACTGACATCTTAAGATTTGGAATCCATGACCGACTCTGTCATTACCTACTTGTGGAACTTCAGGAAGGCATGATCTTTGTCTTCTTTCTACCTTCCCAGGAATCTTCAAAGCTGCAGATGAAACCAAGCAAGGGAGAGAAACTTAATAGCTATAAAACATAAACTTACTCATATTGTAGTTCATTCTGCTTTAGAACATTCTCCACAGTGACAATATCTTCTGCTTTAACACGGAAGTCAACGGTACTATGAAGTTTGATTTGTGTGACGGAATCTGGTTTCCAGAAGTCAAGCTGAATAAAGGGCAAGATATATTGTATTAAACACCTATAATTCAATGGGTGAACTATCATCTCTAAGCACACTATTTCTCTACTCCATTGAGTAATTTTCAAAATCAAATTACCTTTAAAAATCTCTCAGAAATATGAGTGAACAAGGGTTGGGACCAAGCAGTTAGACATGGAGAAAAATGTTTACAAATACATACATACCCTTAATTGATATCAATTAAATAAAAAACATATACTTATTTCCCATAATGCAAGTTAATTGTAGTATTCTATAACTGCTCTTTTCTATTTATTGATTTTCCAGAGCACTTGCTTGTTGGGTTAGCACTGTTTGTGGTAATGGATAAGTGTGCCAATTGAATGATGATGGATTAACTAGAGTTACAAAATTTAGTGTAGAAAAATTAAGCTTTCTCTTTAATGGACTTATTTTATGAATTTGTCTTAGAACTCAGTTCTCTACAAGTCACAGTAATGTGTGGAACCAGGAACATCCCTGATCTGTGATGAATATATCAGGAAGGAAAATGATATCTTTCCACAATGGATATCTTTTTTTTTAAAGCAGTATTTATTGAGAGGACAGAAAAACTCCCAGAGTGGGAGGGGACGCAAGGGGATTGCCCTACAAGGGGTATCTTGACACCATGACTGGACCCAAAATACTCTTTGAGATACAGTAATGCACTGACATTTTCATTTATTCCATTTCTGACCAACTATTATTGAGGACCTATTATGTGCTAGGTTCTGTGTGTGAGACTAGGAATACGTTAGTGGGCAAATCAAACCTGGCCTTTGTCTTCATGGGAGAGACTTCAGAGAATATTAAGCAAACAGTAGCATGATGCCGTATTTGATGATTCTAATGGCTTTGTGGATATGTAGTTTTAAGTATCCTCTTTCAGTGGAAAAGTTTTAACCAGGACAAACTGCTCTTATAGGTATCTGTTTTCCTGTTCCTTCCTTGTGCTGAGTAGAGGCCTAGAAGTCTGAGGAGAACTTGACATTGAGTCTTTTTTTGTCCCTGTATCTCACCCAAACCTTGTTTGGGTGTCGCTTTCTGGCTGGCGATGTGACTGATGGTGATATTTAGGAACACTGCTTGGAAACTTGGAAGGAAATTTGCACAGACTTAGAGCTTGTGCAGCAGAAACTGACAAGGTAAGATTTTAAGATGGGTCAGTTTCAGATACCCCAGTGGGGAGCCTAATCTTTTTCTGGCAATCTGTAAACCACTGTAGAAATCTAGTGGGTGTTGAGTCATGAGTCAGGGTCATAAGGAATGTCAGGGCAGTGGGAATCAGGGGACACTGAAATTCCTTCAAGAAAGATTCTAGAAGAAAAAAGTGTAAGTTTGGTTGTCATAAAGGGGTAGAAAGGAGAGAATGTTAATGGCTGGATAAGAACTGGCTGCAGAAGGTGACCTAGTGAGTCAAGGATAAGAGTAAAGATGAGAGGTTAAATGATAGTGAGGAAGTACAAAGACATGTCAAGATAAGGGCAGAGGAAGCAAGAGGCTGGTGACAAGTTCTAGTTAGCCAACATTGTGAAGAGAAGGGCAAGGAAGATAAGTACAATATGTTTATAAAAGAAAGCATATATTTTTGAAAGTTTACTCTGAATTTGTGTTTCTAATAAACAACTGTCATTCCATGATGTGGTAGAAGAGGGAGGTGTGTGTCTTTATTAAATACACTGAGTTAGATGGCAATGCCCACAAAATCCTCCAAGCACCGGAAGCTGATTTGACAGTGCCCTGCTCTTACATAAGTGCTGAGACCTTTTAGTATACTCAGAGGACACCCCACTGCCAAGATCTCCACCTCCATACCTGAGGCCTCTTTCCCCTGGAGCTGAGAATAGCCAACTAGGAGCTCCAGGCAGGCAGGAGGTATCAAGGAAATAATTCTTTCTGGTTCAACCAATGACCCCAAAGAGTAGTTGTTTAAATACTCCAACTCCCTCACCGCTCTGGTGGGATAATTCTGAAGCATGTGGTTTGTATGCTTTTCTAGAGTTTCCCTGAGCATTAAGCTCCAGTTGTTCTCTGTGGTAACTGGCTTAATAGTGCCCCTTTTGTTGACTGCCTTCACATCTGTCTATTACTCCTCACTTCTCTACCAGTGCTCCCTGCACTTCCCAGGTAAGTGTCTCAGGGTCTGCTTTGGAAGAACCTATACTAAGATGCTTGCTTTCTACTCAAAGCAACAGAAGCCTGCATGATCTCTTTGGTGATAGTTCTAATATAACCTTGAGAACATCTAGCGACAATTCAGAGCAGCCTAATTGCTTATGAATGATTTTGTTTCTAATTTTAAACTGAAAATTGCCATTTCCAACCTCCTAAGTTCTTGCCTATTGGTCCTAGCTCTGCCAAATATTAGAAGTCTCTCTCTCTCTCTCTCTCTCTCTCTCTCTCTATATATATATATATATATATATACACACATATATATACAGATTCTACCGTGACAATGATGAATTCTTTAAAAGGGTGTGGAAAATCTTGTAAATATGTTTGACAAAAACTTGCAAGCCTAACCTGATATGGCTTAAAAATTTCAGTTTGGGCCAGGGGTGGGGTGGTGGCTCAGCCTGTAATCCCAGCACTTTGGGAGGTTGAGGCAAGAAGATTGTCTGAGCCTGGGGGTTCGAGACCAGCCTGGGCAACTTGGTGAGACCTCGTCTCTACAATAAATCACAAAAAACTAGCCGGGCATGGTGGCATGCATCTGTAGTTCCAACTACTTGACCGGCTGAGGCAGAAGAATTGCCAGAGTCCAGCAGGTCAAGGTTGTGGTGGCCATGAGCATGCCACTGCAGTCCAGCCTGGGTGATAAGAGTGAGACTCCAATTCAAAAAAAAAAAAAAAATTCAGTTTGACACAGAGAAAATTGGTCAGCAAATCTGTCAACATCCAATACTATGGAGTGCTACAAGTGTGGCTCAGACTTACCATCCTGGAGTTAGTCTCTAGTAGTTTCTAGGAGAAACGTAGCTGAAAACCAAGAATGACATTACAGCCTCATAGCTATTGACCAGTGCCCCAAGTATGAAAACAAATAATAAACTCAAAGTAATAACACAAGGAGATAAATACAAATTTCAGAAATTACCAAGACCTTGTGAATAAGATTCATGTCTGTAACACAAAAATGAAGTGAAATGTGTAATGTAGATGTAGGAAATTAAAATATATGTGAAGAAGTTATGCAACTGAAATTATACAGTTGTAATTGACAAAGAACCATATAGACATGTGTTAGACTCTGTGTGTTGGTTATCTTGAGTGATAGCATTGTGAGAATATGAACTTAATCAGGCAGCTGCCAAATAACTAAGGAATCCTCCCTAAACTATATCAGAAAATTAACACAAAGGCAAGAAAAGTAGCATATCAACCTTAAATTCTCCTCGGAAAAAAATTAGAATATAAAAGAATAACTACTGTTGTTGGGGATCTTTGGTTCTCCACAAATTGGCACAAATTTGTTTCTTCACATCGCATTTGCCTGTAAGTCGGGCATCTGATAGACTCTTCATTTATCTTGATTAAATTTTTCTTTCTTGTTGGAACAGGGAGTGGCTTCTATTGGAGGCCTAATTCCGGACAGCAGGGAAGAACTTGCTGGTATAGTAGGAATGATGAGAACATTGGAAGACAGTAACCATGTTATTCCAGTCATAGGGAAAGATGCACCTTCAACTTGAGAAACACAGAGTTCAAGAAAGTCCAGAGAAAAGAGAACACTCTATGGTAAATGGCTCCAATAAAGTAATAAGTGTAGCCCTGATTGCAAGGAGATAAAAGAAAATCCTTACTATACAATTACAGATGAAAAAGCAGAGGCTGCTAGAGTACAATGTGGTCACAGATCTCTCCAATACATTTAGCTTCTAAAAGGACATGTTCAAAAGCTGGGAGGAAGGACACAGGGCCAAGGATAAATACAAAGACTGGATGCCCTTGTAATGATCTTATCAGGAAGGCTACAGCCCAGAATATGCTGCACCTACAAGATTGCTAAGGAGAATAAAAATCTCATTTCAACCATGTTGAAAATAAAAAGAATAAAGAAGAAATCTTTGTCCTACTGCTCGGCACTAAAGCATAATGTTTCCAGCTAGAAGAAAGAAAGCCCTATTTAACTCTTGTTTGGCTTCTGTCTTTTCCAAGGAGTTATGCTATCCCTTGCTTATTCTGTGTCTACTGAGAGATGGAATTATTACCAGGATAAGTAAAGAATTTTTCACATTTTTATTTAAGCAAAAATACCTCTTTGGTAAGAGAACACAGAGGACCAAGGTAGATGAAGAGACAGGTGATTATCCTGGTAATGTCAATTGCATTCAAAATCCCAGACTAATGATAGTAATAATAACAAAAATGTATTTATGTTCTTTCTAAGTACCTTATCTATATGAATTCCTTTAACTCTCACAACAATCCTATAAGATAAGTAGTATTACCATCCTCATTTTAAAATGAGGAAGTTGAAACCCGGAGAGGTGTCCAAGGTCCAGCTAACACGAGGTAGGGCCAGGAATTGAACCCAGGCAGTCTGAATTCAGATTCTCTGTTCTTGTCCACCATAAAATGCTGAATTTTTGACAACTAAAAAAAAAAAAAAAAAATCGAAAAAACACTACAGATGTGATTGCAGAACTTTCTCAGCAATCTTGTAAGAATCAGAGCTTGAAGGGTTCACTGGGGAGTAGAGAGGGCAAGTTTTGGATTTCACAAATGAGAAAACAGGTGAAGCCCAGAAGCAGGAGCTCCTGAGGCCTGGCATGGATTCTGGCAAAGCTGCAGAGTAAACTGGAAGCAGATGGATTGTGAATGCTCGAAAAAGGAAGCTGTGATCTCTGGGAGCCAGCATGGTTTAAAGCAAGAAGAAGTCAGGCCCAATTAACTTCATCTTATTTTTGGATGAGACCACAAACCTGGTAGAATGTTGAATCTTGATCTTAGTAAAAGCATTTGATAAAGTCTCTGCATGGATATCCTTCTTTACAAACCAAAAAGTGGCAGGGAGTGTTAGCTCTAGGTAAGAACCTGCTAAGTTGGGTAGTTGAGTCAACTTATACAAGGATGTTAGGTTAATGAATCACTTCTATGTGCACATGGGCGATTCACGATGAATATGTATTGAATGAGTAAAACATGAAGGAGCCTTCTAATTCTGTGCTGACCGCTGGCCTTCTTAGTATTTTTCTTTTTCAGTGACAAAGATAAAAACTGAGAAGGCATGTTTATCAAACTTGCTGGTGATGCAAAGTTAGAGGGAAGAATTATTGCCCTGGATGACTGAATTCATTTTTAGAAAGATCTCAAGAAACTGAAAACAGGCTCTCAAGATAAATTTTAACAGTGTAAACCTAAAATCTTGCATTTAGCTGGAAAAAATCAATTAAGTAAGCACAGAAGGAAGGGTACCTTGTTTGAGGTGATTCATGTGAGAAAAAAATAACCAAATGATCTTGAATGAACACAGGTTTAATATAAGCCAAGAGTATTCTATGACTGCTCAAAATGCTAAAAAGAATCTTAGGCCCCATTAATAAATGTCTGCTTTACAAATGAAGGCAGACAATGGACCTGTTGTATGTATTAATCAGAGCACACCTGGAGGCCCATTGTCAATTCTAGTAGCTACATCTTAAAAAGAAATATAGACAGAAAGACTGAGCTGTATCCAGAGGTGACTAGAACAATGAAGAGTCTGTAAGCCAGTGCTAAGAGAAATAAGGGACGGCCTCAGAAAGATATATCTTAGAGATAACACAATATTTGTCTCAGCTAAGTATGATGGGTCAAAGTTAAGGAAGGCAACTTTCAACTCAGTATAAGAAGAAAACATTTGGAATGATTTGTAAGGCAGATAGGCTATTTTGAAAAGTAGTATACCTAGTATCCCTGGAAGTATTCAAATGGGTTTTTACCAGGGCTAGCAACCAGGGATGTTATTTCTTGGGAGGAACTTCCAGCTTTGAGTGGAAGACTGGAATAGAGATATTATATTCTCTTTCAATTCTAAACTGAGTGTGTGATTATGATACTCACCACCTTTTTCTTTCTTCCTCTACACTTTAAAAGCTAAAACATGACTATATATGTATACATGTGTGTATGTGTATGTATATGTGTGTGCATATGTATATTTAGGAGCTAGTAGATTGTTTCTGCATTTTTGAAGAAACAGCATTGGCCCAAGTAGAACTACTGTATTTGTGGTCAGCAATAGCTTCCTGCCTCATTACATACGTTATTAAAAATGTCAATTTTCTCCTCGTTTACAGTGGATTTCCTTTTAAAAGTAGTATAGAGATTTCAGTTCTTTGGAAGCAAAAGAAAAATACGGAAATCACTCATGGCTTTTTACCTTCCTTTCCCCCCTCACGTCATATCATTAAGGGAACCTGAATCAAGGTCATGAAAACCCAAGCTGTTTGATTTGGAATGAAAGAAAATCAAAGAGGACAGATGATACATGGGATGTGGAAATGAATTTGAAGTTGGACAAAAGCCCAGTTTTTCAGTAATATCCAAGTTGATCATTTTTCACTCTTGCCTTAGAAGGAAAGTGACTGCACATTAGATGTTCTATGACCTTTGTGACAGTTCCAACTCATCCACTTGTCACACTGTCAGCTCTTTTAAAAGTTACCATGGATTTATAATACTATAGGGCTTATGGCAATCTAATTTAGGCAGAAAAAGCAGATATTATGGCACTAAATGTTTTTCAAGTTTTTATTTCTTGCTATCAAAAGTGCTATAGTTAGTATTTTATGATCCTCTTTTTTTGATGGCATCACAGTGAAATCTAAGATTTTATTTTATTTTTTGAGTCATGGTCTCACTCTGTCACCCAGGCTGCAGTGCAATGGCATGATCACAGCTCACCCTAGCCTCAACCTCCTGGTCTCAGGCAATCCTTCCACCTCAGCCTCTCGAGTAGCTGGGACTACAGGCGTATACCACTATACCTGGCTAATTTAATTTTTTTTGTTTGTTTGTAGAGATGAGGTCTTACTTTGTTGCCCAGGCTGTTCTCAAACTCCTGGGCTCAAGTAATCCTCCCACCTGTGCCTCCCAAAGTGCTGGGATCACAAGCATGAGTCACCAATTCCAGCCAATCTAAGATTTTAAATTAGGTGTGAAGTCAATCTAAATTGTTATTTACCTGGGTGTTCCTGGCCAACTCATGAATTACGTTGACGTGATTTTCATCTTCAACATTGACACGGAACACCTTCTCGCTGAATGGTGAGATGGCAAAAGAACAGAACATTTAAATTGGATAATGGGTCCATATTTGAGAGCCAGCAATGAAGAAGGACTTGCTCTTTAAGGAACTGCCTGCTTACCCTTCAAAATGCTCACCACCATGATGAGCAGATGCCAGGGCCACTGTCACCAGAACCAGGAACGCCAACATGGTGTCTGACCAGGTCTAGCGGGTGGGTCTCATCTGCTTTTATAATCCAGAGTGTTCTTTTATCTTCTCCTGATGGCAAATAAGCTCTATCATATCTCGATTAATAGTTTTCTTGGAATTGTTGCCTGGGTAGCTGTGCAAATTCTGAGAGGATATCTTTCTCAACACCTGTGAAAATAGAGCAAATATTCTCAAGTTCAACCTATCTAATTTGGATGTCAGACCTTGAATAGTATGGAGGTAAATGAGATTTAAATAAAATTTATTTTTTAGTCTTTTTTTCAACTTTGAATTGAGAATTGCATACAAAAAATTCTATAGACATAAGTGTAAGGTTTGATGAGTTTTGACAAATATATATATAAATATATCCCAAACAAGATATAGAATATTTCCAGCACCCTAGCAAGTTCCCTTGAACACCTTTCCAGTCTATTTCTGTAGTGCCCTTAGGTAACTGCAATTCTAGCTTTACACATTGATTTTTGCCTGTATTAAACTTCATGTAACTGAGGTCATACCATATATGCTCTTTTGTGTCTGACTTCTTTCATTCAAGATAATGTCTTTGAGATTTATTAGTATTTTTGTTTGTATTATTGGTTCATTCCTTTTTTACTAACTAGTTATATTTCATGGTATGAGGATGCTACAATTGCTTAGCCATCTTTCTGTTGTTAGATATTTATACTGTTTCCAATTTTGTGTTATTGCTAATAAAGCTGCAACAAACATTTTTGTACAGATCTTTTTGTTAACATATGTTTTCACTTAAAGGGAGAGAGGAATATCTAGTGGAATTGTTAAATAATAGTGTAAAGGTAGGTTTAACAAGATAAGATTCTGCCTTTTCCCCTAGTTGTTGTACCATTGTAAACTTCCATCAGTATTCAGTTGCTTTGCATTCTCACCAACATTTTGGTATTTTTGGCCTTTATTTTTGATAATAATTCTAGGGAGTGTAAAGTGGTATACAATTATGATTTAATTTGCATTTCCCTAATGATTAGCAATGTTGAACATCTTTTCATATGTTTACTGACCATTTGTAAATCTTGTTTTTTGAAGCGTCTATTGAAGTCTATTGCCTTGTCTAAGAAATTGGTCTTTTTATTCTTGTTTTGTAGCAACACTTTATACATCCTGGATACAAATCCTGTATTAGAAATGTATATAGTAAATATTTTTTCCCCAGTATGTAACTTGTGTTTTCATTTCCTCAGTGTTATCTTTTGACCAACAGGCATTTCACATTTTGATAAAGTTTCAGTTTATCAATTTTTAAAATTTATAATTAAGGCCTTTAGAGTCTTTCCAAGAAATCTTTGCCCATTCTGAGACTTCAGACATATTCACCTATGTTTTCTTATAGGATCTTTGTAGTTTGGGGTCTATGTATTGTATAAGGCAGGAATTAATAATTTTTAAAAATATAGATATCCAACAGATATGATATTATTTGTTGAAAAGGCTTTTCTTTCTTCACTGAATTAATTGTATTGGTTTCTCTGTCAAAACTCATTTGGCCATCTATGTGTGGGTTAATTTCTGGACTTTGTATTTGTGCTCCATTGATCTATTTGTCTAATTTTATACAACTACCACAATATCTTTACTAAAACTATATAACATTTTACTATAATTATACTTAATAGTAAGTCTTAAGATCAGACAGTATATAAATCCTCTAATTTTGTTATTTACCAGGATTGTTTTGGCTATTCTAAGCACTTTACATACACACACACACACACACACACACACACACACACACACACACACACGTAAAAATCTTGCTGGAATATTGATTTGGATTCTTTAGATTGCATTGAATCTATTAATCAATTTAGGGAGAACTGATATCATTTGACTCATAGGTATGGTATTTCTCTATATTAATCTACAATTAGTCAAAAAGTGTGAAGGGTCTGAGATTTTGTTCTACCTGCAAGATAACTTATCCTGCCACAGGTTCATAGGTGTTGGCAGAAGACATGAAACTCCAGGGTCAGACAAAAAAGTCTTTATTACTCATGCCAGAGCAAGCAGCATGAGCTTCACGTTTGTATCAGTTCTTTTACTTTCTGGTTCCATGGAGATGATGCTTACAAGGGTTCAGGTGGATACTGTATACACAGATTTGTGTCATAGTTGAGGTACACTGAGATTAGGAAACTTCCAATCTTATGAGAGGACTCAGTAAGTCAGCCCAACTTTTGCCACAGAGGAGACATTAACTTTATTATCTTGGATAGCAACAGATCTTTTCTTTGCTCTGGAGGGAGCCACCATCTTCATCTTCCAAGCTATTTGCTATACAAGTATCCTTGAAAATATAATTTAGAATAAAGGTTGTCCCAAGACATGCAGAAACAGAAAGACCCATGGAGATTTGTCTCTCAACAAAATCTACTGCTTTCTATACCTTATTGACTGAATTTCCCCATGAGTATGCTACTCTGTTGGTCACTCTGATTAATCTGACTGACAAAAGCTGGAAGCAAATCCATTCGATTTGTCTAATGTGGTATTTAATTAAGGTTAATATCCATAAGTCTCCAAGCAGCGTGACGAGGCCAATCTGCAACACTGACCTCAGCCATACCTTCCCTGGGGTACTAGACCCAAACAGTGGAACAAATAGCCTAAACCATCAGTTTCTGCCTTAGAAAGCTAGGCAGCTTTCTTAAGTTTCAGTATTAACTGTTTGACTTTACCTGAGGCAATAATCTCATACAAGAGGATCTATTAACTATTGCACAAATTCTACCATTGCCTGTGAGCAGGAAGTCTAGGAGTTTCATTATCCATAACAACTCTGGTCAGTGAATTGAGACTGACCTTAATGTCTCCCAGGGCTAAGGTGGTGTTTAATGCATTTTGAGTGTATGATTTATAATCCAATCTAGACTGTCTCTTTAGTCTTCTTTAATTTGGACCAGTACCTCAGCCTTTATCTTTCATAATATTGACATTTTTAAAGAGTACAAGTCAGCTGTTGTGTAGAATGTCCCTCAGGTTGATTCATCTCCTTGTTTCTCATGATAAACAAATTTTTTAAAGAGCCAATGCAATACATTGAGCTCCACAGAGACAGCACCAGAGCAAGTGAGAACCAGATATACACTGGTCAACTCTGTGCCTCACTGAGGAAAAATAGTTAAACATGGGCAAATGAGATCCTGAGAAGTGGAGAGGCAAAATGTCATCATATGTATTCTTTGTGCAAACTTGTCAGGAGGAGCACAAGAAGAGCATCCAGATGCTTCAGTCAGCTTCTCAGAGTTTCCTAAGAAGTGCTCAGAGAGGTGGAAGACCAAGTCTGCTAAGGAGAAAGGAATATCTGAGGACATGGCAAAGGCAGACAAGGCTTGTTATGAAAAAGAAATGAAAAGGGGCTGGTGGCTCATGCCTATAATCCCAGCACTTTGGGAGGCCAAGGTGAGAGGATTGCCTGAGCCCACAGGTTCGAGACCAGCCCTGTTAACATGGTGAGATATCATCTCTACAATAAATTAAAAAATCAGCTGGACGTTGTGGCATGTGCCTATAGTTCCAGTTACTAGGAAGGCTAAGGCAGAAGGATCACTTGAGTGAGCCCAGCAGGTCAAGGCTGCGGTGGCTGTGAGCATGCCACTGTACTCCAGCCTGGATGATAGAGTGAGACTCTGACTCAAAAAAAAAAGAAAAAGAAAAAGAAAATGTATGTGTCTCCTCAAGGGCAAACAAATAAGAAGTTCAAGAATCTCAATGCACCCAAGCGACCTCATTTGACCTTCTTCCTGTTCTTTTCTGAGTATAGACTCAAAATCAAAGGAGAACATTCTGGCCTATCCATTAGGGATGTTGCCAAGAAACTGGGAGAGATATGGAATAATACCACTGCAGGTGACAAGCAACCTTATGAGAAGGAGGCTGCAAAGCTGAAGGCAAAATATGAAAACGATATTGCTGCCTACCAAGCTAAAGGAAAGCCTGATACAGTTTAAAAAAAAAAAAAGTTAAGGCTGAGAAAAGCAAAAAAAAAAAAGAAGAAAGAGGAAGAAAACGAATAGAATGAGGAGAAGGAGGAGGAAGATGAAGAAGATGATGATGATAAACATGTTGGTTCTAGCCGGGCTCGGTGGCTCAGCCTGTAATCCCGCGCCTTTGGGAGGCTGAGGTGAGTGGATTGCCTGAGCCCGCGGGTTCGAGACCCGCCTGGGCAGCGAGACCTCATCTCTACAATAAATCAAAAAATCAGCCGGGCATGGTAGCGCATGCTTGTAATTCTGGCTACTCGGAAGGCTGAGGCGGAAGGATCGCTGGAGCCCAGCAGGTCGAGGCTGCAGTGCGGTGGCCGAGAGCGGCCAATGCACTCCAGTCTGGGCGACAGAGTGAGACTCCAACTCAAACAACAACAACAACAACAACAGCAACAACAACAAAACATGTTGGTTCTGACGTAGGCAAACCTTGGAACTGGGACTTGGCCTGAGAGGCCAAATGGGTTCTTGGCTTCGCGCAGGAAAGAATTCAAGCACAATCCATAAGTAGGAGATGAAAAATAAATTTGTTAAACTAATGGAGAGACAGAAAGATGGCTAGCCCATAGATAGAGCCATCCATGTGCATCGCTGGGGTTTTAGTGGGAAAATGAAAACAAGTTTATTTAAATGACAGAGGACAAGCTACTCCATAGGCAGAGAAGCCTGGGCCAGTCTATAGAAAGAACAGCAGCCATACATCCCTGGGGGTTTATTTTTACAGTTATCTCTTGATTATATGCTAAGCAAGGGGTGGATTATTTATGGGTTTTCCGAGAAAGGGATGGGAGTTCTCAGAATCGAAGGTTCCTCCCCTTTTTAAACTATAGTGGATAACTTCCTGAAGTTGCCATGGTATTTTGTAAATTGGCATGGCACTGGTGGGAGTGTCTTTCAGCATTCTAATATATTATAATTAGCATATGGTGAATAAAAAGGGCAAGCAAGATGTCATCTTGGTCTTGGCTGGCTTTGGCCAGTCTTCTTACTGCATTCCATCTTGTCAGGGAGGTACCAGCCTTGAGACCTTTTTGGAAAACTAGTCCTGAGAGATCCCTATCTCAGTTCTAGCACAGTTTCCCTCCCCTCATGAAGCATTTAAACCATTTAACCCCCTAAATACCCTCTCTTCTTTTAAAGAAA